AGATACGGATAGATAGATACGGATAGATAGATACGGATAGATAGATAGATAGATAGATAGATAGATAGATAGATACATAGATAGATAGATAGATAGATAGATAGAGATAGATAGATAGATAGATAAATAAATAGATAGCTGTCCGTGTCCGAGTCCGAGTCCGCAGCAACGTCTGTGAGGTCACTCTGCTGGCGCCCAAACCCTGTCGCTACAGGTCACTATGGCCTAGCAAACTGGTCAAACAAGAGCAAAAACCGCCGAAACAGATTTCGCCACACCATCAGCCATCCTTTTTCCATGCGCTGTCCCGTCCTGTCTCCACAACTTTGAATAGGCCTTCGAAGCATCTATCACATAGTTGAACCCATCCAGTGGCCTCGACGAGTTCGGCGGCTCGGAGCGGTGCCAGCAACGACGTGTGGAGTGCATGAGACGAGCCTCTCCACTAAGGATACGACCCTCTCACTCACTGGACACATCTATTCATGATTCATACCAATGAAGCCAAGCTGGGCCAAGCTTGGGGATCAGCATCAATTTCCTGCAAAGTGAATGGGTCGTGATATAAAACATATGTTATAATGTTATATTGGGCTATGAGAATATAGGGCTGGGGGCCTTGCAAGTCATTTTAGGCTTAGAATATGGTCAGGTTAACTAGCTCAAGGATATAACATGTTGTATCAAAATGACTAGGCCTGAGCATGGGAACAAAACCCCTAATTGACTATAAGATCACAATACCTTACCTCAGAAATACACTGAAATACGTTTCCTCCAAAACATGCATATTATCACATGAATCCTCCCTGCTTTGATCCAGAAATGGGATCGTAGGAACCGCCATAGTTTCACAGCGGTGTCCACTATCAACAAGTTTTCTCTACAAAATCCCTCCCTACCCCCCCCCCCGGTCAGGGGAGCGATAAAACGTTTTATGTGCGGAGTTGACCCCCAGATTTCATGATTTCATAGGCGATATTCAAAGGGCTATACTATAATAAATATATACATTACAAGGTTCGTAAAAGGACTTCTGCCCTCAACGCCAAGGACCTCCTTGTGCCTTACGCCTACGCTGACCTCTGCCCGGGTCGGAGGGAGTGGTGAGGCGAGGATTGGCTGGCTAGCGCTTGTTTGTGTGAGCGCTTGAATACAAAGGCCTCGTGCCTTGTGCCGCCCTTCGTATCCCTGCCTTCTGGCAAAAGATGTACAACAAAAAATGCAGCGAAAGTAGAGAAAGGGGGATACGAAACGATCCAGTTATATACCATACTAGAGTCTCAACAATAATATATATATATAGAGAGAGAGAGAGAGAAAAGGGGATACGAAACGATCCATTTACCATACTAGAGTCTCAACGATAATATATAAATATATATATATTGTCTATATTTTGTTTATATATATATATTTGATGACAACCTGCTCTTTGCTATCGAACGTTATCAATCAGATGAGAGAGCTTTTCTTCGGGTGCCATCTCCCAGGCCCTGCCAGGCATCCCTGGCGTCCGCAGAAACGCATTCGCGATCTGTGCATTGATGGCCCCGCCCGCGGCACCTCACACGACACGCACGACTAGGGCGTCCTGTACGCCGCTGAGGTCATCTTTAGAACGGCTGGGGGGCCGAAACAGTTTTGCGCTGTGCGCCTCTGCTCAACTCCCAACAGTTTAGGCCCTGAGCCGCACACCCCAATGTTCTCCATGAGCCAAGAGCGTCCACCTGGCAGAATTCGCATGGCTTTTCTTGCTGTTATCACAGCACGTTTCTAGTGGAGCCTCTTCTGTCTGCTTGAACTCGAGGATCCCCGACTGAGTGGAACCCTGCAACTCTAGAACCCGCCCAAAATCGCCTAAGCCGAAGGGAATGCCATTCTTGTTCCTTGTAGCTATTTGCTCCGGAGTAGTAATGCCAGGAGCTACGTTCGTAGCGTCCTTGCTCCGTTCGTAGCGATGCCCTTGTTACTAGTAGCTTCTTGTTTCTAATAGTTTCTTGTTACTACTAGTAAGGCACTTGTTACTAGTAGCGATGCATTTGTTACTAGTAGCGATGCCCTTGTTACTAGCACCCCATGCACAAACGACAAGGCACAAGGTTCAGGCGACTCCCGGCCGACCCGACGGCATGGATGACCGATGAAGCGACGAGGGAAGGGGCCCCCTGCATCCCGATAAACCCGAAAATACCGGGATCTTCAGGGTGTCCATGTGTTCAAGAGAAAGTTTCAAAATAAGGGCCGCCCTCAACTGGTGAAGCCGTGTTTGCTTTGGTTTGGCCCCGTTCCCAAGGGTTACGGGTAGTGGGCCATCCCTTTTCAAGCTTCAAACCAGCCCCAAAACTGCTATTGGTACAAGACCCCTCTCAAGGTCATAAGGGCACATACGGCACAGTTCATGGGAATCTTTCTCAGCAGTGGTCATCTTCCACACAACGTAATGGATGCCGCTTATGGTGGCACTTTGATGCAGATTATATTTGTATAATATAATTATATGCGAACGGATGGAAAGGTGTGCCCTGGCCCCGTTCTAGCTATTAGGTCAACATGAAGCTCGCGCGCTAAAGCTCCTTTTTACCTGGTTGGGCACTTGAGCCAAAATGTATATGGCATGTACCTGTATAGCGACTATACTGGGACCCCATCCCTATTGACACCCCCCACATCCGTACTTCGACGGGGAAGGGAGATGAGTGGATGTAAAAACCGGAGAACGAATCACGTTCTCAAAAGTGTATTGGAGGTCCACCAGTATGTCCTATTGAATTGAATTAGCAAAAGATCTTGCATTCGCTTGAAAGTTAGATCAAACAGGCAGTGGAGCTACAAGCGGAAAACGTGCACCTACCTATGGTATCATGCGATTACCAACGGTGTGAGACACAATCCTATCTCACTCCCATGATGCCAAAACGGTCATCATGAATTACCCGAGATCCCTCAGTACTTTAAGTACCGGAAGTGGCATGTCGGTATGACCCCAATGCTCAACCATTCGTGAGTTGTCGCATGTAGTCAGCGCCGACAAAGCCAATGTAGTCCTTGATGAGCTCAACGTTCCTTGGATTTCCCGCTCGGATCTGCTCCTCGAAGGACTTCAATTTCCTTTCTTGGATATCGGATATCTCTATGCCATAGTAGCGGCATGCAACGAGGATCTCCTTCGTGACATTCTTCCTCTCCGATTTGATGGCGGGACTAATGTCGATGAATTTGTATGGAGCGGCACTTTCGTCATCTGGTTTCTGGTAGTAACTATATCGGCTCGCTCCGAAGGTCTTCTTGATCATGCGTCTGATGAAATTTGAGATGAATGCCAATTTCTCGATGATCTCATCCTGGGTCTCAGACTTTCGAGCCTTTGGATCACTCATGCTACGCTGAGTGTTGCCGACCTCTTTGAGGTACTTGTGGCTAAGCCCGCAGCGGATTGCAGTGATCATCATCGGATGAACAACGTTGGCGTGGAATTCATAGATCTGCCACGCTTCTGCTGCAAACACGTCGTCGGTCCATCTGCTCATGCCTACGACCTCGGCTCTCTTAAGACGTCTTGGAAACCCAGTATCCGGATCTTTCGGTACTATTGGCCATCTATTGTGCGGAGTGTCATGCCGCTGTCCATCGTCGAACATTCGCAGTACATCTTCACGACTCTCAAAGCAGTTGATGTCGAACGTTGCGTTGGCCAAGCTCTTGATCAACTTCATCAACCTCAGATCAAATTGCTGTGTGACGGCAAAGTTGTGGTCGATGGGGATCGCAGCTTCCTGCGGCAATTCGTCAATTGCGAAGGGGAAAGGCTTCGGAAGTTCATTCCCGTATCCATCTTGAGGGACCTCCCGATACTCGGGTTCGCCTTCAGCTTCGTCCGGTCGTTCCTTCAAAATGATAGGAACTTCCTCCTCTTCCTCTCCTTCGGGTTCCTCGATCTCAATGACCTCTTCGGCTGTCTTGCGTGCGTTCTTGATGACTTCATCGATGTTTGCACCTGCAGTAGAAGTTGTTTCACCGGAAGAACTGGCTGGGACATCTTTCGGAGGTGATCGTTGATTGCGGTCCCTTGTCTCCTTGGGTACCACATGAGTGAGCTTCCCATTCGCGATCAAAACCGCTACGCAGTGCGGACATATCGTCAATCGCACATCGACTTCGCCAAGACAGTTAGGACACGGCCTTGAATCGTAGTCTTTCATCGCTCGGCGATACACGATCTCCTCGAAGAGTTCCTGCCACTCGGTGTTATCATACTCTGGGTAAACACCACTCTCCTCGATCATACCCAACAGCTTTGAGATTTTGGCGTCGTCCTCGGAGTAGGTATCGTCCTGAACCTCAACCGCTAAGCTCTCAAGCTTTTGAAAGCGTGGAATCATGATCGGGTTTCCGTATTTGGACTCTAGAACAAGGTAGCTTCCAGGGTCGGGTTCCCCATTGAGTAACCGGATCCATTCGATCTTCTCAGGCTGCCCGGGTTCCGCATTGTCGCATTGCAACCATGCCCCTTTAACCTCATCGAAGGGAACGACGTTCTCAACCAATAGAGACCCAGTCGCTGAGATGAGAAGTCCGTACTCCTGCAGCTTCCACACCGGAATGTAGAGAACCACTGGGCGATCCCTCATTGCGACCTTACGACCCAGCCAAGGTTTACCCTTGTAGCCCTGCTCCCAGGCCCATGGCGGAAAACATGTGAAGTGGATGGAATCCCTTCCCGATGAACCGAGACCTCCCGGCACTAGCCCTCGTCGCATGATTGATGTCAGCGCTCCGAGATTGGTAGCGTGAAATGCAGTCACCATAGATAGGGCCATGTCGTTGGTCATTCTCGACCCAATGTGGTCGATGTCAATGGTAACGTCATAACCTCCGCCGTCCGTTGAGTGTGCCGAGGTTGCTCTTACAGCCACGGGAAAGCACCATCCATCACTATGGTGGAGTCTTCCTTTAGAGATTCCCATGTCCTTGAGTTCGTTAATCCATCCCTTCTCCATCGGGTCATCAGGTTCATTGAGTTCATCAGGGTGAACACGGACCGCTAACATTTGGAATCTGACCCTCCTGGTCATGCGGAAACACTCATAGTTTTGGTCGAAGTACTTCTCCAAACGCGCCTTCTTGGTCACGATATCTATGTTGCCGTAGTGATAACCGTCTTCCCAAACTGCATTATCACCTAACAGGTCTTCCCATGACACCCATGCACCTTCATCGCATTTGATTGGTGCGAGTCTTCCTCCTGCCCTGAACTGGCGTCCAATTCGATGTCTCAACTTCGCTCCCAATCGACGACTCAGGGCCTGGCTCGTTTGGCTGTATTCACGTACTCGACAGTCTGGAGTCGGATACTTGTGGTTGCCGTAGTCGGAGTTCTTTGCAGCGAAAGTGACTCCGTTGATCGGTACTAGTTCAACTTTCCCGACCATCGTCATGGGGTCGATCGGCTTGTATCCCTTCTCCCTCCGTGTTGGTAGGGGATAGAAGTGATGACATGCCTTTGGTGTGAGGGAACTGGAGTGCACAAATGCCTTCTCGACAAATTCATACACCTCTTTCATATCCTTAGGGCCTGCTTCCACAAGCTTCCGCCCATTGTAGGAATGTGGTCCTCCTTCGACTCCATCAGCACTTTCGATCAAGGTGAACCCGTCATGGTCGAACATTGTCACGACTCTTGCTTTCAACATCTCTTTGCGCCTGAACTCGCTGTCGACCTTTCTATCTGGAGTGGGCGACGCTCTCTGCTTCTTCTTCTTAGGCTGTTCGGTTGGATGTCCTGATGGTACATCGTCGGGTGCAACCTCTCCCTTCACTCTCTTCTTCCAATCACTCAACACCGAGGTGACTGTAGGTGAGGATGAAAGGATCTTATCGCAATTGAGAGTTGTGTGTCCCGACTCCATGCAGTGGATGCAGAATTCTGCCCGCCCGATCTTCTTCTCAAATTCGTCGATGGCGTGCAGTATTGATGCCTTCGGGTCGGACATGTCAACATCTTGCTCCTTCTCCTGTACACCTTCAGTCTCCATATCGACACCTTCGGCCTCGGGCTCGCCTGTGGCTTCTGTTCCCTGTTCTGGTTCTTTCCCAATTTCGAAGAAGTGGTCGATGTCGAATTCAGGAAGCGGCATAGTCCTCATGCGAACGAGAATCAGTGCCACGCTTGCCGCCTCATCAGAGTGCGGGTCCATGGTTCTAATCATCGATCGCTTTCAGTTCTCATACGTTGTCCTGTCGTACAGCGATGCAGTGACGCGTTTGATGGATTCCTCTAATCCCGTCCTCAAAGCTTCGATGTCACCCCATCTCCTGAACATGTGTCTGAAGAGTTGAGCAATTTCGAACATGCCCAGCAGCGCTTCCACCATGTCACCTACCCGTTCCTCCGTGGGATCATCTCCGAATATAGTGCGGAATACATCGGGTTCCAGTATGGTCTTGAGGTATTTGGTGTTGCATACGTTGCCAAGGTCATAGGATCCCTGGAAGTACTTGGCGCTGCCGACTATCTGCTTTTCCACATGGATGCTGGGTCCTCTCCTCGTTTAAGTTCTCCGTCATTGTTGATGACAACCTGACCCCCCCCGAAGAACGAAATCTCCTTCTGGAAACCTGGATTCTCATTGAAGATGATCATCGCCTCGTGTAAAAACTTCATCAAGTCATCGTGCGGGTTCATCTCGGAGATTACGATGGTGGGAGAAGATACCGTTTGCCCCATGCC